CCACCTTTCGAGGCCCGCACTTTAATGAACAAACTCATCAATTCAAAAAATAGGTGCAGAAAGGTTAACACGCAAAGCAGTCACCGTTTCTGTCCAATTCGACATTGTTCACAGGGACAATCAAAAAAAATTCTAAGCATTTCTTTCCGTGTATTCAAAAGTGGACCGCTAATTGATACTACTTGTTTGTGTCTCACGACGAAATCATTGAAAGTGCGTATGAAGGTGTGATGCACAAAAACACATCATACATTCTCTCTGGAAATGTGATTTAACACGCTTGAGCACTGGACCATAGCACATGAAGATGTGTAGCAACAGAATATACAAAAGAACATTTGCAGGTGCACGCGTTAAAGCAAAATGTCTGTAAATAAGACATTGAAAAAGCAAAAGTATACTGATCGCAAAACGAGTGCGAATATCGAGACCATTGAAGCTGTGAAACAAGAAAATGATAACAGCGTTAATGCATTGGATTACGAGGGTATTAGCAACTGGCCTGCGGATGAGCAGGTGTGTATTTACGATTTGATTGTGCAGTAAGCTTTTGTTCACTTAGATCTCATTGTCAAAATTTCCACTCATACTGTTGTCGAGTTCTAACCAAGGAATAAGGATACCTATCAAGGCAGAACGGATGTAGGAGGCGAGGATAAAGCTTCGAACTTGCCACGATGATTCATCGGTGTGAATCGCTCGCGTTCACCCTTACGCTTTCGATAATTCCTTAATAATCTTAATTGCCAAAAACTACTCTTCTCTACCAGCACTGAAAGTAAGGTGCCAGTAATTCAAAGTTACCACAAATTTGTAAAACTATTTAGTTTTTTGTGTGAAGAGATAGATACTTCGTTCAGGAGTCAAAAGAACCGCCTTGACACGTGCAACAAAAGTATAGATCGCTTTTTTCAAATTTTTCTTTCATTACTGAGGCATTCAAGCTTCTTTCAAAAGTAGCAACATTTTCCACAAATTCTTCAGGTCATTAGCAAATATCTTGGCCACATATCGCTCCAAGAGGCTGAAAATATGGGTTCCCAGGTTTAATCTGACGCTGAATTCGAATGAATTATCTCTGAAAAACTCCGAAATTTCTAAAATGGTTTTCTATAAAACCAGGTCTCTCGAAAACCATTGGAAATCGACGATTTTTAACATGACCTAGACTGAAATAGCATCGAATTCTGAGTAAAATGGGACCTCTCCGAAGCTTATAGCATGTTTCTGTACAGAGAAAAATAGATAACACCGAAAAAGAGGAAGAACATGCTACCAGAAAAGGTGTTTTTCGGTATTATCTATTTTTCTCTGTGTAGAAACATGTTATAAGCTTCGGAAAGGTGCCATTTTACTACTTATAGAGAAATTGTAGAGCTCTCTCAACGAGCGGTTTTTCGGTTTTTTAGGACCTCTCAGTGTTTTGGATTTTTCTCGATGAAGACTAGGTCAAATTGAAAAAATAAGGTCGTATTCGTGATGAACAGCTCCTGGCGAATCAGAATATGTGTATTAAAAGAAAAAAGAAAATTTGTGGAAACTTTGAATTACTGGCACCTTAATTGATCTTTGATTTTGAAGTATCGACACTCATCGCGAAAGGGGAAGATCGTGACCGGTCACAAAAAGAAGAGACGACTGGCAATGACAGATGGTAGCGTGCAAACCCAACAGACCGCAATCACGCTCGATGATGGAATGATGAATGGTCCACGAAAAGTGGTGGGAAAACACATCGAGATTCAAAGTGTTCCACCGTACAACTTTGATGAGCTGATTCTGAACTCGAACGGAGAAGAAAAAGCTGATCAGACACAAGTGGCACTAGCAGCAGAAGATCGACTCGTAGAAGTTATCGATGTGGAAGAGAAACGACAAACCACAGGCGCTGTCAACGATTTTGTCAAAGACATCGAAAACGATCTTAGTCCCATTGTGGAATACGCCAGAGAGCCTTTGCTGCCGCTCGCTGAAGCGTGTGCTCCACTAGAGAGCATCGTCCACGATTTATACGTCTATGTTCAGCTGGCGCTCGACGAAACCCCGATTCAGCCGCCCGACGGCCTGACTATTGACGAGAGTGCTGCGATTCGGCTCTACACGATCGAGTGGGTGGGACCGCACCGAAGTCTCTATTCAATGCTTAATTACACGCTGAAGAAGGCCGATCGC